TTTTGCTTTATCTTCTCCAGTTCTTTTTGGTTGTCCACCTGTTTAAGTTGAGCCAATTAAATAACAGCTTTTGTAGGTAAAAAGCAGCTGATTATTAGTAATTAAAAAATAAAAAAGGCAAGGGCCAGACCACGTCTGTCTTTATACTGCTTTCCAAGGCCTGGAATTGACAGAGGAGCTTACTAAAATCCTGTTGGCTAATGAAGCTGAGCTGTCTCCAGGCAGCTTAAGTCCCTCCCCTCTGCAGTGCAGCGGGGTCTCTTCTCCCCAGGAGCAGAGCTCCTGAGCTACACTGGGCCAGAATTGACTTGGAAGAAAAGACTGGTGATCTGCTTCCTAAAGGTCACTGATTTAAAAACTATATGAAGCCCAACCATATGAGACCAACTGCACAGTTCTTGCTGACAGTTAGTCAGTGCTGACTCATAGCGGCCCCCTGTGGATTTCAAGATTGTAACTTTATGGGAGTAGAAAGCCCAGTCTTTTTCCTGTGGAGAAATTGCCAACCATAAGGATTTCAGCCTAATGCATGAGCACTACACCACCAGGGTTCCAACAGCAGCGTTTGCCCCTGAAATAAAGCTCAAAAAGCAGGGAGGGGCAGGAAGGAGGAGCAGCCAGGGAGGACCTGGGAAAAGTGCCATGACATTGAGGGGGTTGTAGCCAATATAACAAAATAAAATGCGTATAAATTATGGAGTGGAAAATTCATTTGCTCTGTAAACTTTCACTCAAATGACAATTAAAGAAAGAGGAAGGAAAAAACAAATCCTGTGGAGCCTCGTGCGACTCGGCAGGACATGGGGTTGTCATGAGTTGGCATCAGTTCAACAGTGTCTGGGGGCTCTGGTTTTCCCCATGAGTGATTTGCATCCTTGTCACACTTGAAGGAAGTAGTAGAGGATTGCTGTCTCCTTCGACAGTCTTCCTGACCCCTTAGTTACTGTGCAGAGGTTGAGTTAGGTCTGCAAATGGTGAGATGCTCATGGCCAGTGTTTTGAGTGAGAGAGGTTTCAAGCTAACGGGGTACGGAGTTTCTGTAGATCCTGAGAATGCTCAGTGGAATGTCTGTAGAGGAATTAAAAATTCATTGCACAAAGCTAGACTTCCTAGACTTTTAGAGGGCACCTGGCTAGTTTGCCCTCTAAGAGGTTGCCAACCTTGTATTTTGCCAAATAAGGTAATTTAAAATAAGTACCTATAATTAATATTCTTAATAGTTAATAGATGCTCATGGTACTACATTCAGAACAAACAAAGGATATACATTGAATTAAATAAGTCTCATACTTCCTCTCCAGTTCCCTAACTATCCAGTTCCCTTCCCAAGAGGCAAACCGGTTGCTTGATCATCCTTCCAGGGATAGCCCACGAATTTACAAACAGGTATGAATGTATTGGTTTTCTCCCCTCTCCCACATAAATTGGTAGCGTGTTACAATAATCCTTCTATATCTTGGGACCTGCCCCACCTCCTACATCTTATCTTAGAGGTTGCTTTACATTAGTATATAGATAGCTGCAGATTATTATTATTATTTTTAGATTATTTTTTAATGGCACCACAGTATTATTAAAAGCATTGAAACCAAACGATTTAAAACATTGTTTTAAATTTTAAAAAATTATTGGGGGGCTCGTACAACTCTTATCACAATCCATCCATACATCCATTGTGTCAAGCACATTTGTACATTTGTTGCCATCATTATTCTTATAACATTTGCTTTCTACTTGAGCCCTTGGTATCAGCTCATTTCCTCCCTCCCCACTCATTCCCTCATGAATCCTTGATAATTTATAAATTTTTATTTTTTCATGTCTTACACTGTCCAATGTCTCCCTTCACCCAGTTTTCTGTTGTCCGTCCCCCAGGGAGGGGGTTATATGTAGATCACTGTGATCATTCCTCCTTCCTCCCCCCACCTTTCTCTTGCCCTCTTTTAAATTTTTTTAAGTATATTTAAGCACCAAAATTAAGGGGAAAAATATTAATTCAGTGTAAAGAACAGTTTTATTAATTAAATAAATTAATTTATTTAATTTATTAAATTAATTGATTGCTTGATTGCTTGATTAAATTAATTAAAAAAATTAATCCCCAAATTGATCCAAATAACTGTGTTTGAAAAAAACAGAAAAAAACCCCAAAAAAGTCTTAAGATAATACAACAAAATGTTATAATGTTTAAATATGCACGTATATATAATTAAAAATCATATAAAAATAAAGGTAATAAAAAAAAAAGCGATGTTTGAAAGCCTTTGTTTGAGATAGCAAGTGTAAAAACCAGGGCAGATTATGAGATTCTAACTAAGATTCATTAGTGGGTTGAATGAATGATAGGGCAAGAAATACAGAATTGAGGTTTCTATGTCTTCCTCCCTATTTTACAGAGATGAACAGATAAGGGATTCTTTTCTTATGTCCTACAGTTGTACTCTTTAGTTCATCAGATCATATAATTAGCCAATCTGCTGTCAAGATATTTCGGTTTTATAGCAGCTGTCGGTTGGCTTGGAGCAGGGAGAGTAGTTTCAGGATTGTTTATTCCTTCTATTAATACTTTTTGATCAATTACTGCATGAATAGCACTATGAAAATTTGAAAAGCACACGCTGTTGTCCTGTGTGAATAATTCCCACTGTGATGGGGCCTTTACTTGGGAGTGACTGAAATTGGAAAGGGTAGTAAGAGTCAGGTGAGAGCCTTGGGACTGAAGAGTTTATAGGGCAGGTGGCCTTTGAGAAAATAGGGATAATGGAATTTTTGCTGTACATTTATTCAGTGCTCTGGATGTACAAGGTACTGTCATAGGTCAATGACAAACCACAAACACCTACCTTAGAGGATAATAGTGTAGGATTGAGGAGAATTGAGGAAGACATGAATAAGGGAGCTGGCCTGTTGACTAGGTAGTACATTTTATTAGGCAACTCTGTATAGGTGTTGGGTACAAGAAAGGAAAATGGTACAGATCTGAGATGAAAAGAGAAAGTATAGGTGGACCCAAATTGTCTCAATTGACCATGGCAATCTGATTTAACACAGTTGTATTTAAGAGAACAAGTACATGCAATATTTTTTAACCTTTTATTTTCAGAACAAGCAATTTATTTACATGATTGAAACAGTTAAAAAAGTCTTAAAAGGTATACCGCCCACATAGTCTCCCTTTGACTTCGCTTCTCTGACCTAATCCCCTTTTGTGTCATTTGTTTTTCTAAGTTGGACACAGAAACCACTCTGGATGTTTCTACTTACAAAGAGATTTAGCACAGAGAATTGGGTCCTTTTTGAAGAGCTGAATGAGGCGGGGAGGGGTTCAGGAGGATGCTCTTAAGATTGAATTGTAAGGGCCTACCACTGGAGCTGTGATCTGGAGGTCAGAATGTCCCCGTGCCACTCTTAATTAACCCACCTCTCCTGTTTGTCATGACGCTGATGACTAAGCATTGGAACTTGCTGTTGTCGACCAGCAACAGCAGCAGCAGCACCTGGTACCTTGTTAGAAACTCTTTAAAACTTCACCAGCTAAATCGGAACCTGTGTTTTATTAAAATCTCTGGTAATTTGCCTGTGCACTTAAGTTTGAGAGGTCCTGGATGGCAGCAGAGTGTTTGGTCACCACTACTGCTTCCAACCCAAGTGTCTTCTTGATTTTTGTTTCCATTTGAAAGGGAGTTGGGAAATGTAATTGTTGGTTTTCCCAACTCTTAGTTTAGGAAAGTAGGAATGGAGGTTGAAGGAATCCATCTACTGACCTGATCATACTCTCCCAAAAATAACCATTGTAATTTCATGTGTTTCCTTCCAGATACTTTATAGGCAAGGGCTCCAAAAGGTTTGTGGAAAAATTACATTGTATTTTAATTTCATTTTTCCACAAACTTCCACACCCCTAAACATATGTGAAAATAAATTTTTTTCACTTAAAAAATTTTTTAATGAGCAATATAGTGTATATGGTATTCCGAACCTTGAGTTTATCATTTCACATTTTATCTTGGGAAACCTCTCCATATCATTTTGTTTTTTTTAACAACTGTATGGCTTTCCATTAAATGGATTAAAAATGTTTAAAATTGAGGTGGTCTAAGAATTACAGTCTCGGAAACCCACAGGGGCAGTTCTACCCTGTCCTAAATGATCACTGGGAGTTGGAATCGACCTGATTGGCATGAGTTTGGAATACAATCTAAAGGGAGGTCTGGTGGCCTAATCTGTTCACACACTGCACAGTCAACAGTTTATTTAACTCACCAGCTGCCTCAAGGGAGAGTTTTGAGACTTTCTGCTCCCATAAAGATTTATAGCCTCCCGAAAACTATTCTGCCTTTTAGGGTATTTTGAGTTGCAGTCTACTTGATGACAATGAGTTTAAGTTTTCTTTAATACAATTTTAAAGGAGCTATGGTGGTTCAGTGGTTAAGTGTTCTGCTAACTGAGAAGTTGGCAATTTTAACTCAGCACTTGCTCTGCAGGAGAAAAGACCTAGTGCTCTGCTCCCATGAAGATTATAGCCTCGGAAATCCTAGGAGGCATTTCGATCTGTCCTATAGGGCTGTTGTGAGTGCAACAGCAACAACACAATCTAAATTACATGATTCTAATGTATTGGCACGTATAACATACAATGTAGTTCTTAAATGTTTGCTTTCTGCCTCCTCTCCTGTGTGGTTGGGTCTTTTGTATGAGTTACCTTGTTTAGCTCACAGCTGCAACCAAATGTACTGGATTTTCTTCCTCCGCCTTATATGGGAACTCAAGCTTTGAAAAATTACTTTGATAATTGTGGACTGAGGAGTAGCCAAATTGGGATTTGAACCAGTTAGCCTCCATCATCTAATTTGATAGTAGTATTAAAACCTTCAAATGATTTGTGGAATACTGTATTTTGGTAACCAGTTTCTTTGGAAAGAGATTTGAAAATGTACCATTGAATATTTTTGTGGGTATTAAAAGCAATTTCAATTTTCCCCCCACTTCTCTGACTCAGGTATCCAGCTCACATAGAAGACATTGACTACGAAGAAGGAAAAGTACTCATCCATTTCAAGCGCTGGAACCATCGTTACGATGAATGGTTCTGCTGGGACAGTCCGTATTTACGCCCGTTAGAGAAAATCCAGCTGAGGAAAGAGGGCTTACATGGAGAAGAAGGATCGTCTGTGAGTAATTTAGCATTAGGAAAGTTCTGGAAGGAGCTGGGTCAGCTATTGTGCAATGCAGTAGCTGTGGACCTATCCCCTTTAGGCCCATGTTTACAACAGGGTCTTTTGAGAATCCTGGTTTCCATTTAATCAAATGATGTGATTAATGTGACAGCTCATATTAACCTGGCTGAAACTCCTGAGTTGATGGTGGATGGAGACCTTGTTTTTCTTTTACAGCATTGTGTCCTCAGCTTAGAGAACAATGCCTTGAAGACACAGTAGGTCTTCAGGAAATACTTGTGGAATAAATAGGTGAATGAAGGAGTAAATTCTAGATTCACAGTATTACAATCTTGCCATCTTTGCTCTCTGATTACTCAGCAATCATGCTGTGTAGTAAACCATGCCACCTCATTTTTAAGATCATGTGTGGCTTTCAAAGAGCTTGGACCTGAAGGGAGGCTATTTCCATTTTCTAAATGTTATCATTTGCTTGGAGCTTTTACTGACTTCTGAATGAAGTAATGAAGCATTAATTTTGAGTTTTTTTAAAGAGACACTGTGATATTCAGTCATCCTCCTGCCTTCAAATTTGACTCAACCCAGTATCTGTTTTCTGTTTTAAGCCTGATCTCTGTTAGGCCCTCCCCCACACCCACTTTCAGATCAATGAGATTTAAAATGTTTGTCTCTTTTCAATCTTAACTATTCAATATTTATTGTACAAAATTTATCAATGCCAGCTGTGTGCTGCATGTTCTCCATGGTGGTAGGAAACAATATAAATATTAAAGGTGAATGGGTGCTTCTCTTGGCTACAGACTTTAGAAATGAGTGGTATTAAATGGCATTAATGCTCCTTCCTCAGGGTGAAGTAGTCTTGTTCCTTTTAACTTGGATACTGGCTGTGTTTCCCCAATTCTTAGACTTACTTTCCAAGCATATTGGTTTTTCCCCCAAGCATATTCTTGACTGGAGAGAGTTATCAGTAGTGCTGAGTTGTATCTGCCAGGCCTCCCCAGGAGGGTTAGGTCTTGCACCCAAGCCCTTCTAATACTAACCAGAAAAAACAAGCTTTCCACATCCCAGTAGCCACCTCTCATTCCCACTCTGACCCACTCTATCCTCTTTTCCGAGTTCTGGTCAGTGTGTGTCCTATAAACATGGATTAGTAACAGAATATTTTTTTCTTTTTGATGTTTTTTAGGAATTTCAGATAAATGAACAGGTCCTTGCTTGCTGGTCTGATTGTCGTTTTTATCCAGCCAAAGTCACTGCTGTTAACAAGGATGGTAAGGCATTTAAGTTGGAGTAGTTTTTACTCGTGATTTAGGGGAAAGTTGGTAATATTAGAGTTTGAGGGTGTATTTTTCAGCATTATTTCCTAGGAACCATCTCTTCAAGTTAATCAGTATGTGAAGAATCAGAGGTGATCGTAACTGGAGAGAAAGCTGGGTTAAAAGGGGGCTAGCTCTTTGCTCCCTAACGTTCAGTCTAAAATAGTCACAAAACAGTTTTCCTGTCATTCTGCTGAGAAATACGTGATCTACAAGTTCCTGATACAATTGACAAAATGTCACTACTATTCCTTTTGCTGATTTGTGAATAACCATTTTAGAAGTGAAATGAATAGCAAACATTTCTTTGACTGTGCTTTGTGGAGGTAAGGTGATTGAAGATGATGTGCAGTGTCAGAGTTGTAGTGGAAGTTGAGGCAGTGTAGCTTACTTAGTGGGATGCCTTTGCCACATGCTAGAACCTTCCAGGATACACATCAGGATACCCAAAGAGGTTTGTTTTGCGATTAATAAGACCAGCAGAGGTTTCTAAGGATACCGTATGTGATCAGAATTTTGGCATTGGGAGAATAGATTCTTGGGTCTGAAATGATAACCTTTTTTTTCTTTTTTTTTACATGATAATCTTTTGTAAGCATTTTCTACCAGGATGTTTATGTTATGTCCTTGATCTTCAAAACCTTTAAGCTAATTCGTCCTCTCTGTGTCACTATCAGGGATGACCATGAGGCCAGATTGGTTTCATTCAGGTAGATAGCCAGCATTTGTCCTGGTGTTGCAGTGGGTTAAGTGTTGGGCTGCTAACTGAAAACTGGTGGTTGGGACCTATGAGTCTCAGAAACTCTATGGAGCAGTTCTACAGGATTGCTGGGAATTCAACCATAGGGCAGTGGCTCTTTGGTGCTGGATCTTTTGTGGTCAGAGAAGTGTTGGCCTTGAGATAGAAATTAAGTCTGAGAATGGGTTGGGTTGAGAGGATTAAAAGTGACAAATAGCAGAATATGGAGGAGGAATTCCAGGTTCTCTGATTGTTTTCACCTCTTCAGCTTTTGGATCAGTTAGATGTACCAGTTATGGTCACAGCTCTCTTCCCTTCGGCCTGGAAAGCAAGGTTGTGGTCTTTTAAGTGGTCTTTTAAGCAGATTGATAAATCTTTTTGGATAGCTCCTTGTTTCCTTAAATTATTTTTTATAAGTAAAATAATAATAAAATTGATGTTACTGCCTTTCCTGTGTATTAACTGGGGGAAAAAGGATTTGAAGGAAAATATAAATGTTCTTAAACTTATACCTTTTAGTAAAAGGCCTCCATAGATAAAAGAGGTAACCTTAAGGAAGGAATATTTCTCCTTCTACTGACCCCCAAGAGTGCCTGGGAGTGCTGAAATGGGAGGAAAGGGATTAGGTAAAGGGATAGCAAAAAAAGGTGCAAGACAGTATAGTGATCGTAAGGGTCCAAGAAATGTGCAGTTACTAGGGTTTCTGTGGGGGGTGGGACTACTGTGATGCTTTTTGAAATAATCATTTAAGGACTGTAAGTATTGACCACATTGGCCATAGTTAATTAGGGCTTTTGTATTTTTTTTTTTTTAAACTGGGGCAACCAAAGCTTTGCTTGCAAGGTATTTCAAAATAAGTCTTTTCAGTTGTTTCCCCCATGAGCTAAAAGGGTAAGAGGGAAAGTCATTTGCCTCCTTAACCCTCTGGTTCTGTGAGCTCAGAATTCTGTCCAGTGAAATGAAATTTTAGTTAATTGGAAAACATTGAAAACGAGTAGTGCTTTCTGCCAATGTGTTTTCCTGAAGTCCTGAATTACGTTGCCACTCTTAACTTGTTGAAAGAGGGGAGAGAAATCCAGAAGTAAAAAATTATTGGAACAGGTAGGATGGTGTTATTGATACTTGCTGGATTGTGCTGGAAAGCTACCTTGTGGGAACTCAGATTTGTGCCAGATTTTGAGAGGAAAATACTCTTGCGTGAGATGTCTTTAAGATTGGAGTTTATCCATGGGAGCTGGTGGGCAGTTTCTATTTCATTGTGATTCATGTCAGTACTTGCAGGTTTAGGAGCCGCAATGCTGGACTCTTCATTCTTTCCCTGGTGTTTTCTGCCCTCTGTATCACCTGTAGCAGGGCTTAATGATCCTGTGAGGAGAGGCTCCGGTGGGAAGGTGTCCCCTATCTCCTATATTTCCTTTGAAAGTCACATATATCTTGTTGGCTCTGCTAAGAGGAGGCCCGGAATATCGTGAAGTTACAGTTGGTAGATTCATCCACCTTTGGAAGGCTTGGGCTGATTTTTTTTTTTGTCACTCTTAATCTCCCTGTGGTTTTCCTGAGCACTGAATGAGCCGACTGGTTGGGTGGGGGCTCTCTCCAGAGTAGGTGAGCAGTCAGGAATCAAGGATGAATGAGCTACAACTTTCTTTCCCATGTCATACAGTTGATTCTGACTCCTGTTGAGTGTCTAGGACTGAGTAGAACACCCCCATAGGCTTCCTAAGGCCATATTCTGTATGAAAGAGAAGACTGCTTCTGCTTTTCTCTTGCTTTCTTCTGGCTAAGCATCTTGTTTTGTTCAAGCCACCAACCTTTTGGTTAACATCTGAGTACTTTGACTACTGTGCCGCCAGGTCTCCAGCCAGATCCTCAACTAAACGGCAACTTTATAGTGGCTTAAGGGAATGAACCCTTGCTTGGAAAATGGGCCAGGCAGTGTCAGATTATGTAGCCCCCTTCACCTGGAATGGTGCTTTGGCAGTGGGAAATAAGCATCATTTTGTATTGAGGTAGCTACACCTGTGAGCCTTGTCAGCGCCTCGTTGTGGACTGAAGCTTGAGGGTCTTTGTTTGGAAACAAGGTCCTTTCAGAGGATCCTTGTTTGGAAGCTGTCTCTGGTAGTTCACCGCAGCCTTAGCTGGAATTGCTTAGCTTCCTGTTTTTAATCAAGGGCATGGCATAGCCACTTGTTTGCCAGGGCCACTTACTTACTGTCAGGGTTTTGTGTCCCCGCTCTGTTCTGTAAGGCGTTCTCACGGGGTGGGGGGAGTAAAAGCAGTTTAGTATTTACAACAAAGAGAGATTCATTCCTCTTTCCTGTTGATCTGTGGTTCTTAATCTTGAGAGATCTGGTGAGCCAGGTGGGTTGCCCTTCCTCCTTGAAAATCTGTGTATCTTTTTTGGTCAAGACACGAAGTCAGCTCTGCATTTAGAGCTGACTGGGTGGAAATGGCTTTCTTTCTGAGTCTCTGGTGGAGCAATTCCTGACTTTGTGTTCTTCCTGCTGTAACTGATCCCATGTATCGAAGTGCGGAGAGGTTGCACAACGTGAAGAGCTTTGAACAGCTCTGAGCAGAGACGAAAAGAAGCTTCGGGCCCACGCCACACAAGCAGGTGCTAGCTTGACCCTGACCTTCCCGGCTGAGGCGACGGGGAGGGGCCGGGGCTTCCCTTTTGTCGTGACTTGGGGATAATAATAACTAGAATCACTCACTGATTTCTCGTCTGTGACGAGTCCTGTGCTCGGCAATTTTCATATCTTCTTTCACTTTGTCTTCACACAAACATGCCAAGGTTCTTGCTAACCAACTCTATTCTCATTTTACAGATGAGGCTATAAACTAATGAGGTCTGAATGGAAGTCTGTGGGTTCAAGCTTCTGAAATGGCCCTGCTGTTCCCGGAGATGGGGAGGGCAGGCCACATTTTCCTAAGATAGCTTGGTGGTGAATTGGAGCCAGGTGTTACAAAGGGGAGGGAGTACTGCAGAAAAAGTGCCTGATGTAAGACTATGGCAGGTGTAGGTGGTCTGCTTTCTGGAAGTTGGTTGTCTCCTGAGATGCCTTAATGGGGAGAGAGATGCTAGTTCTGGCCCTTACAGGCTATTCACTGACCTCCCTCTGGACTCATTTGGGCTATTAGAAATTGAAGAAGGAATTGGGCAGGTAACCTTTGGACATTGTTGATCACGAAACCTGAGCCTTCTCTGTAAGTTTGCTAAGAAGGAAAACCATAGGGCAGGGAAAGGTGTGCTTGCAAACATGTCAATCACATGTTATCACAGTTGTGGTAGATTTCAAGAGGAAAAAAGCCCCGTCCAATTCAGAGTCACCTGTGTGTCCTTGCCTCCTTGGCCCTAGAGAAGGGGTGAGCTGGCTAAGCATCTCTTGTTTTGTTCTTGCTGCTCCACTTCTGCTTTTGCTGTCAGGCACAGAAGGTATTCCGCTAACACTGAGTTCCCAACCCTCACAGGGACAAGGCCAGGAAGCTTTGTTTCACTTGTGGACATGGGTAAGGAGCGTTCAAATGGTAGAGGGGAAGGGGCTCCTTTAGGTTACCTGAGAGAGATAATCCAAACCCTGTGTCAATTTAGAAGCATAACTGTATGTCTTTATATTTAGAAGTGTTCTGTCATCTGCATCTTCTATGTTAAACACATCAGTGAAAGGAGAAAACCAATCAAACCCACTGCCACTGAGTCAATTCAGACTCATAGTGGCCCTCTAGGGCAGATTAGAACTCCACTGGGTTTCTGAGGCTGGGTTCTAACTGTTGACAAAGCAGGCTAGCAGTTCAGTGCTTAACCTACTGTACCGCCAGGGATCTAGTGAGAGAGAAACTGTTGAATAAAGAGAGCTCTGTTATCAGCCACGTATAGGAAGGTTCATGGGAAGAACTTTTTAAAATCATTTTATTGGGGGCTCGTACAACTCTTAATCACAGTCCATCCATCCATCCATTGTGTCAAGCACATTTGTACATATGTTGCCATCATCATTCTCAAAACATTTGCTTTCTACTTGAGCCCTTGGTATCAGCTCCTCATTTCCCCCTCCCTCCCCGCTCCCTTGATAATTTATAAATTATTACTATTTTTTCATGTCTTGTACTGTTCGACATCTACTTCACCCACTTTTCTGTTGTCCGTCCTCCAGGGACGAGATTATATCCTTGTGCTCGGTTTCCCCTTTCTACCCCACTTTCCTTCTACCCTCCGGTATCGCCACTCTCACCACTGATCCTGAGGGGTTCATCTGTCCGGGATTCCCTGTGTTTATAGTTCCTATCTGTACCAGTGTACATCCTCTGGTCTAGCCAGATTTGTAAGGTAGAATTGGGGATCATGATAGTGGAGGGTGGTGGTGGTGAGAAAGCATTAAAGAACTAGAGGAAAGTTGTATGTTTCATCATTACTATACTGCACCCTGACTGGCTCGTCGCCTCCCCATGACCCTTCTGAAAGAGATGTCAGGGAAGAACTTCTTTTAACTTACACATGAAACCATTAGTTTTTGGGTCTCTTTTCGGAAATAGGTTTAGACCACAGTTGAGTGCCAGTGGTCTTTCTAACTAAGGCTTTATTTAGCATAATCAAGAAAGTTTGAAGATGATCTTTTGTGGTCCATTGGAAGCCAAAGGGTCAAGACCAGGGTATTAGTATCTAAGGTCAGTGGTCCCTAAGTACCTTTGACCATAGAATTTGTGTCATTTGGGAGACATTCAGTTGTGACCAGTAATGCCTATGGTTTGATGACAAACAGATTTTGGAGAGAGGCAGTGTTATGTGGTGAGAGAATTGGTCAAAGTTGGCCGACTGGCTTGGAGTCTGATCTTAGCTATCTTTACACATGGAATTGAGGCACAGCCCTGTGTCTGTAAATATGCTCCAGAATTTACCTAAGATAGTTAGAAATGTTGGGTAGCATTAATTTAATGCCCTTTTAGATCATGTCAGTAAAAATGACAACTGATGGAACCCATCAACTTTTTTTGTTGCTAAAATAATTGAAAAATAAGAACTAGATCCTTAAAACTCCTATGTGCACCACCCCCATCCCCCTCATCTCCTGCTCCCAAGCTGGCCATAGCAACATCATGGTTGTCTGAAAAAGATCTGTTTAGAATTCCATAACTTCCTTTGCTTGCTGACACCCTCACAGTATATATATAGGCAGAGAAAGAACTTTGTCGGTAGACACACTGTATAGGTGGGATCCTGGACCCTTGTTGGCGCTGCTCATTGCGTCATTGCTGAGATGCTTTAGGCAGATTCGTTTTTTTTGTTTTTGTTCCTAGACTTCTTTTGTTATCATGTGTCATCTATTTGTTGATGTTTTAACCAACAAAGCATAGCTAAATATGCTTATGTTGTTTGCTAGCCAGTTTCTTTCAGTTTTGGTGGTACCAGTGAGAGTCACATTTATTTTGTAAATACCAGGATTAAAACTCAGTAGGTAATTCTGTGCTAGTGATTTTTATACTTTGTGCTCTTCTGAATCACTTGGTTGGTGTTGGCTCAGGTTCATAGCTATGCTGTGTGTAACAGAATGTAACATTGGTCAGTCCTGCACCGTCTTCTTAATCACTGAATTTATTGTTGTGACCAGTGTATATTTTGAGAGCCTTCCAACCTAGGGGGCTTATCTTCTAACGCTGAATATATTGTACAATATGAGGGTGTTTCAAAAAATTGTTGGGAAAAATTGAATGAAAATATAATGGAATTTTCCTATGAAGTTTTGGAAGCTCCCTTATAATTTGTTGTGATTTGTAGGGTTTTTATTGGCTGATTCAGGAGGTAGAGGTCCAGGCCTTTCTTCCTAGTCTGTCTTAATCTGGAGCTTAGCTGGAAACTGTCCAGTATGTGTGACCCTGCTGGTATTTGAAATGCCAGTGGCATGGCTCCCGGATCATAGCAACACTCAAGCCAACAATATGATACACTGAAGGATTGGTGGTGGGAATCACCTGGAAAGCCTATTAAAACACACATTTCTGTCTCCCACTCCCAGAGTTTCTGAGTTAGTTTATATGAGTTGAGGCAACTTGCATTTCTAACAAGCTCTCAGGAATTGCTGATGCGGACTGTTGTGGGCCCCACTTTGAGAAGCCCTGGTTTACAGTGAACCAGCCATTGTGAAAGAGACTGATGTGAGATGTGGAGCCCTTTGAGTTGGCATCTGTATTTCATTAAGGTAGACCTACGCATGTGAGGATGTGTGGGCCAAGCACTAAATGCGTCTTAGAATAATTTGGAGCAAGGAGAAATCTCCAGTAGCTGGAAAGTTAAGAAGCTTTGATATAACTTTTTAAGTCACTTAAGCTGGGTGCTTAAAGATCAGTGAGGGATTTGAGTAAGCCTAACAGCAGTTTTTTTCGACCCCTTTGGAGGTTGAACCACTCTTTCCCAGGGGTTGCCTAAGGCTATTGGAAAACATAAATATTTCACAATATATAATTACTTATTATTTTGTGATTAATCACTAAGCTTTATGTTTAGTGATGTTCAATTTGTAACAATGAAAATACAGCCAGCAAAAAAAAAAAAAGAAAATACAGCCTGCATATCAGATATTTACCTTATGATGCATGACAGTAGCAAAATTACAGTTATAAAGTAGCAACAAAAATAATTTTATGGTTGGGGGGGTCACCACAACATGAGGAACTATATTAAATGGTCGCAGGATTAGGAAGGTTGAGAACCACTGGCCTAGCAGATGATGGCCATACTTTGCTTTTATTAAGGCAGGAAAACATGATAAAGTTGTGGAGGTGGGAATGTCACAGGCACCTTCAGTGGATGGCAAATACTAGACACTTGGAGTTGGTGGGCATTATGTTCATGCTGATACATTTTGGAAAACACTGGCATTCTTCTGCTCTCAGCCCTCTGGGATTTTTTCCCCTTTTCTATATGTGTGGGAAATACTGATCCTCAAAATTAAGTATCTATTCACTGTTAATATTGGCAAGTTCAGAGGATTGATTCTTTTTTTTTTTTTTAAATACAAATCCTCTGGACAACAAGGAGTATTTAGGATGTAGGTGGGTTTTGATAAGCAAAGTGAAAAGTATTGGTTTGGGTTTAGTTAATGGAAACTTGTATTTAGATGATCATTTTCTGTGTTCTTGTAGGGAGTAATACTTATTGAACTTTTTTCCTTCTTCAAATTGTGGTAGATTTGTATGTAACAAAACATTGGCTATATTATTGGTTGAACATCCTCCCTCCTCCCCCTATGGGATAAAATGTTCAACACAGAGGTAATATTGCTGATGTTTTGGCAACATTTTATTTTGAAATATTGTAATGTGAATATCATTATATGGATTTTGAGATGCAATCATGATGCCTTTAGGATAGGATAATGGTTATATTTCCTTTAAAATGTAAAAGACATCACTACTTCCGAGCCTAGAAAATAAAAATTAAATGATAAAAATCAATTATTCACTAAGGAATAAATCTACATTCTTCACATTCTTACTGTTCTTAGTCTAATTCTTTGCAAGTCCCCCTCCCCATGAGGCATCATAGAAATTTGAGTTATTTTTTTTATCTGTATAGATAAAAAGAAAACTTACTATGTAACATTGTATAAGAAATGAAGGCAAGTATCTAATAAGTAAGGCTGAATGTGATTCTTAAACAGTGGTTTTTAACTCCCATAAGTTTATTATGTGGTTGGAGCTTCCTTGTGTTTATACTTTGAAAGTTGTTGTTTTCATGAGACTGCAAGTTAAAATCATGATATCTTCTTGAATTTTAGGTACTTACACTGTGAAATTTTATGATGGAGTAGTTCAGACTGTCAAACATATTCATGTCAAAGCTTTTTCCAAAGATCAGGTGAGAAATGTGGTTTTGCTTTGTGGTATGAATAATGCTAACTTTGTAGTTTTGTTTTTCAAATAAAGGCTTCTGATGGCAAAAGGCTTTTTTCCTCCATCTAACACAGTTTCACCTGAAAATAACACACAAGCTTTCAGAAATTGTAAATATTTGTCTTTCTTTGCCTTTTCCTTTTAACACAGATTCTTTTTCCAAAAGCACCAAGTACTTGGAAACCATTGTCTGTTATTTGTTTTCCTCAAAAGTGTCTGGTTGTCATTATTTTTTCTGTCTGTGCCCTTAGCACTATTGCTGATTGTAGGGAGCTTGTGTAAATGTTTGAGGCGACCTAGAGCATGTTTTTCTCATTTAGCTTTGGCCTTCGTCTTGAAATCATGACCAGTTGATTTTCAGTACTACTGTTTGTTAGTGATTTGACAACCACTTGCCCTAGATGTGTCTGGCTTGAAAATATTATATCCTATTATCCTATGCCCCATATGTGGCCTGTGTTTTGGTATTTTGATATTGGTCAAAGGAGACATCTACAAATACTTCTTTCTTCATGTTTTTTTTGCCCCACCCCCTGTTGTCATTTTTTTACGTCTATGTTTGACTGAAATAATAGAGGAGAAAAGTGGAGATCAGTACTTGGATATTGGTGTTTATAAAAATTCTGGTAACGATTTTAGCGCTGGAAGTTGACTAACAGAAATTAATAAAATTCACCTTTTTGAATGATGTTGATATATTATTTTTCTTATGATCAAATGCCTCTGCTTGTCATAGATTTTTAGTAACTTCTGTTTATGTATTTAGCCATTTCAAAGGACACCTTAAAAATGTTTTTACGTTTTATTTTCTTCAGAAAATAGTCAAAATTATGAAGCTTTTGCCCTGGAGATGTTTATCTTTTGATTATTTGATCCTTAGGCATCAAAAGAACTATGCAGTACTTTCTTTAAAATGTTACTTGGCCTTAAATCTGGCCAATTTTTGAGCTAGGTTTGTAGAATGTGTTAATTTAGAAACCAGAATTTCTCCAAATGGAATCTAGGCCTCCAGATACATTCAGTTGTTTACTCATGCATGTCACTTAGTAACTTGATAGGACTGATTGGCGTGGAGGTGGGCACCTTGCTCAGTGCGGATCTGTAAGTGCTCCAGTTCTTAATTTCCAGCTGCCTCTGAGGGGTCTCAAGTCAGACCTGGCAGGGTGGCAAGCACAGGCCCATGAGTTCTTTTTTTTTTTCTTCAAAAAGGCACGGTAGTTTGTCTAATTGGCTTTTCATATCTTTCTAGCTCTAGGAACCAATTATTCTGTTATGTCCATGCACAAAAAATAAAATAAGAAAAACTGTAAGCGTTCTTATTATTTTCTTAGAATAGATTGAGATTTTGTTTTTACATAACTGCACTACCCTAAATGTTGTGATAATTAAATTTTAGAAACTTTATCCCCTTTTTTGAAGTTACGAAAACAATACATGGTTATTAGAGAAAACTTAAAAAGTACAGAAAAACACAGGAAAAATAAGCAAAGTATAGAATCCCATTAAATACTTAGGAGTCTAGCCTTCTGAATTTTTGTTAAACATATTTACATATACATCCATATATATATTTCAAAACTAGTATGTATATATATACATACATAAACATGCATATATAGTTTTATAATTTGCTCTATTAACAAAGTAACATTTTCCAAAGTTCTTTAATATTCTCTTTGAATTAACTTTAATGGACACACACACACATAACACATCTATTCTTTGTGTAACCAATTAACCAATTTCCTAATGATCAGTCATTAAGGATCTTTGTACATATGGGTATACAAATATGATTACTCTTTTAGCATATTCCATTTCCAAGAGTTGAATCTAGTTTAAAAGTATGACTTTTTAAAAATCCTTTAACCCGAATTGTCAAGGCACTCTCCCTCCCAGAAAGGTGCCTGCTGCTTAAGTTTCTACCAGCAGTGTCTGAGAGTGCTTGTTCTCAAACCTGGCTACTTTCAGAACACTTTTTAGGACTTAAAATTGTTTTTCCTTCTAGGATCTACCTTCATAGTCTCCCTGTTTTTGTCTTAATTGCAAATTAATCATGCACTCGCTGTATATTTAGGCATTCTTTCCTGCTTCTGGCAAAAATCTGCATCTTTTTAAGTCCTAGGGATCTCCTATGAACAGGATGATAACTTGTTCTTTAGAGTTCTTGAAGAGAGATGCATAAGTCTAGTTGTAGTTTTGAGATCTCCAGAGCTTTGTTATAAATCACTTGTAATAAATTCAAGATTTTGTGCATGAATTTTAAACAAAGTAGTTTAAGAGATAAGCAGTAAATAGTTTTTCCTTTTGGCTTTGAGAAAACTTAGATTGGTTTAGGAACATAGTATGGGGCTTGATGGAGCAAGCACAGCCATTGGTTACTCAGTAGGGGAAGCAGACTCTGGTTCTGGGTTGGATAATCTTTACAGGTTTCTTCTTCTCTGTAGTTACCAGTTTAAATTCTCATCTACACTGTCAGAATTTACTGACAGACAGTCAAGGTCTCTGAAAGGCCTTGAGCCTATATAGTTATGGATCAGGCCATGAGAAGCACTGGCATACATTTTTCTTAGAATGCCCCCTGTCTGGAAGATTGCTTTCTAGAAAAGATCACTAAGGTAGTTATTTGTCATCTTTATTGTTTTCTAGTGACTTAATAAGGGCAATTGCTTTGTCTCTGAAGGAATTGAATATCACAGTTATTTTCTTTAAACTTAGGCCTGATTCTCAAACTTCAGCAAAGTATTTATTTATTTTGTGGTGCTTTGCATTATGTGACTTGGCATATGCCATCTTTTAATTTCTTTGTTTGTCTTCATAACTGCAAAAAACTCCTTTTATATTTGCAAGTAATCACCAAGTGTTTCATCGCTATTTTGCTCATTTTAGAATATTGTGGGTAATGCTAGGCCTAAAGAAACAGATCACAAAAGTCTTTCATCAACTCCTGATAAACGAGAGAAGTTTAAAGAGCAGAGAAAAGCTACCGTCAATGTGAAAAAAGACAAAGAGGACAAAGCCTTAAAAACAGAAAAGCGACCCAAGCAGCCTGATAAAGAAGGAAAGCTGATCGGCTCTGAAAAGGGAAAGGTGTCAGAGAAAAACCTTCCTAAGAACGAGAAGGAAGACAAGGAGAACATTTCCGAAAATGACAGGGAGTATACTGGAGATGCCCAAGTGGATAAGAAGCCAGAAAATGACATTGTGAGGAGTCCACAAGAAAACTTGAGGGAGCCTAAAAGAAAACGAGGCAGACCCCCTTCCATAGCTCCTACTGGTGAGTTTTCCAAGTGGGCTCTGCAGTGGGCAATGCCAGAATGTTCTTCTGTGGCCCTATGTGGTTCTTTATAAATTCTGTACTTCAATCCTTCGTTTTTTGTGACTGACTTTGAATCGTCTTGCCATCTGAAAACAAGTCGTGTCTGTGGATCTGAATTTTGAGTGAGGCATGTCACCAGCTGAACATAAATCAGGAAGCGTGTCCATGACTGAGCTTCTGGGTGGTAGATAACAGTCCATTAGTTACTTCAGCTTATATGATAAAGTAACCTCTTGCAGCTTCAGTTGATTAATAAGCTAAGGCCTTTTGCTTCTGTCCATTTAAAGGGTCTCATTTTAAGTAATTGTAATAGAAACCAGGATCAGGAAATAAGAGCTTCTTTCTTTTCAAAGTTTCATTGATTTTATTGTAGGAAATAAGATTTTAATGAGGCAGGCTTGAAGGAAGAAAGGAGGAGAAGTAAACAAGGTGTGGACCTCCTCGCAAGGAAGTAGGGGTCCAAGCACAATGACTAGGGAGGGAGGCCTGGGGACATTTTGAAATTGAATTTTCTGGAGAGTAGTTACTGATTGCAAAATGTCATAGTCTAAACAGAAGGTTAATTGATACAGAGTCAAGATGATAAAGTATGGATTCAGGGAAGAATACAAGTTAGTATTTGGAATTCTTCTAGAACACCCAGGTGCATAACATGTCCTGAATTTCTTCCTGAGGCAAACATTTATTCTCCAGGTCTATTCAGTAATACATAAAAGCTCTTTTTGGGTTGAACTCTGCTTGGGGTCATGTGACAGTGGTCCTCAAGCATGCTCACTTGCATATTCCTTACCTTCCCCTTCATTAATTGTAAGTGGGTTTCACCCTTAGCATGCTTGCGATGTTTCTTAGGGCCTAGACTTGTTCTGTCCAGTCTGGCAGCCTCTAGGCAGCCTCTAGGTGACTATTGAACGCTTGAAATGTGGCTAGTCCAACTCAAGGTGTACTGTAAATATAAAATACATACTAGATTTCAAGTGCTTAGTATATAAAAAAAGAATGTTCCATTTTTATGTTGATTAAATACTGAAATGTTGTTTTTGGATGTATTGGGTTAAATGAAATGTATTTTAAAAGCTAATTTAACGTTTTAAAAAAACCTCTTTAAACATGACTACTAAAAAATTGTAACATTAAAGTGCATGGCTTGCATTTATGGCTTTCATTATATTTCTATTGGACAGCACTGGCCTAAAGTTACCTGCTCTCTCAATGAGGTTCTAGAAAGGAAGTAGATCCTAATGCCCAAGGCATCTATGATCTGTAATGAGTGGATTTCTCTTCTAGAATGTTGCTCATGGTATACTCTTGGAAAAACTGAGAAAATAACCTCTTTGTTCAATATACAGATTTAGGATCCCTTTTTAGTGGGGCAGCACCCCATGGTAAGCTGAAAGATGAGGGAGGGTTGGGTCTTCTTACAAAAGTTGAAGAGAAGGACAATTATGAAGGGAAAGGTGAAAAATGTAGACTGGCCAGTTGTGATGTGTCCTGTTTGGTTTACCAGTTACCGTCAAGTGGCCTGCTCAGGGTAATCCTGTATGTGTCCCTGAGCTACTCAAGAGTAGAACTGTACTCTATTGGGTTGTCAGTGGCCTTTTTTTCTGGAAATAGGTCACCAGGCCTAGTTTTTGAGGCCCCTATGAGTGGACTTAGGTCTCCAACCTTTTAGTTAGCAGCCAAGTGATTTAACCATTTGCACCACCTAAAAATTACTCCAACTCAGGAAAGTATTATATATGAGAATATATATCGTTTGTATCTTGTACTCCTTTTGCGGATTTGTCTCCATGAAGACCATATGACTTTGATTTTTTTTTAAGGAATATTGAGTTTATTGCTTTAGTCTTTTATTATAAATAATAGAATTTTATAGTAGGTAAGATAATACAGAATAGTATCATAAAATGAATATTTTCTAAGGTTATTGTTAAGAATTGCCTGAGGAATTTATTTAAAATGCAAATTCCTGCCCTGCCTCAGTTCTCCTCTATCAGAATCTCTGTGTTGGGGCCTGGGAATGGGAATTAATTGTTAACAAGGTTCTCAGATGATTCATGTTGTAAGAAGCATTTGGGAAACACTTATATTCTTTCAGCCCAGTTTGTAAATGGTACCAAAGAAATGAAGGCATGCCAAATATTCCACATAGAGCTGAGGGCTTCAAAAAGTGTGTGGGAAAATTCCTTTGTTTTTAAATTATATTTTTCTATTAATTTCTTGAAGCTCCCTTGTATTTTAAATCCCCTTGCAAAATGGTGCAGACCTGATTGGAGCAGGCTCTGAGCTATGTATGTGTCAAAGGTCTTATTTGTATTTAATTTGGAATGTGTTACTGCCATTTGGAACGGAATGATATTGGCATGTGGCCATATTGGACATCGAGGAAGAGCCAAGAAAGAGTTCAGTACTCTGACCAGATTTGCTTCCTCAGAACTTAGCCCTGTGCCTGGTTCTGCTGTTTGTCATGCCAGATCTGAAGCTACTGGTCTTGGATGAGTCTTCTTTCTCCTGCCTCCTCTCTCTTTCCTACTTCTTCCCCAACTCCTCCTCCCGTTAGCCCTTGCTTTTATTTTCTCTCCAGTTGACTCGGTTTCTTTTCTTGTGCTTTCTCTGCTTGCCAGCTTTTCAGCTTCTTATCTTTCCTGGCCGAGGAGAGTTCCTTAATCCATTAAGTGTTAAAGAAAGCGCACTGCCCTGTGCTACTTTGGCAGAGCTGGATTTGCTAGGGATCTGCAGCCAAGCCTGGGACATGTCAAATTGGATAGTTTCCTGAGGTTTTGCTGGATTGTTTGTAAGAAGAATTAAATGTTGACATCTTTCTTGGTTTCTCAAAACTAGGACCACTGCCCCCAAAGTTAATTTTACAAGTAAAGGTTGGCAACAATAAGGACACACATTTTAGGAATTCGCCTGCATGGTGGATTGCCAAGGTATTGGCAGGTCAAATTTTGATGAGAAAATTTGAAGGTGGTAACAATGACTTCAGAGTTTTTTGTTGCATTCTTGTTATTGCCCTTGCACCTTTATATTTTAATGTAATCATGTGGATGTAGCGTTTTAAAGAGAAGGTTTTGGGAGAGCAGTTTAATACTAGAGCAGGGCCATAGGAGACTAAGAAAGAACGATTTAAGAGTCAAGGGTGTCTGTATCTCCCATATGTAAGAAATTATTCATTCATTTCACTTTTTTTCCCTTTGTATCTAAGGTAAAAAGGCTCCTTTGAGGGTCTGTTTATCATACAAGGATGTCTGCATTTATGTATACTTTATATGTATAACAGGAGAGATTGGACCACTAAGACAATACATTTTTTTTGTGTGTGTGTGATTTTATGTACATTGTAGCTGTGGATTCCAACTCCCAAACTTTGCAACCAATAACATTGGAATTGAGAAGACGGAAAATATCAAAAGGAAGCGAAGTTCCATTAAAACGTCCTCGGCTTGACAAAAATTCACGTGAGTCTGTAGTTTGTGTATATGACTAGAACTTGACATTGACTGTGTTCAATACCTTGGGCTGATTTGTGACTCATGGTGATTCCATGTATTACATTATAGAATTATTCCATAGGGTTTCTTGCCTGTGATCTTTACAAAAGCAAGTCTTCTGCAGGGCCAGTGGGTTGGTTTGAACCATCAACTTTTATGATAGTTATTGACACCAGCAGTTTTCACTAGTCAGCCTCCCTTGTAATCATGTTGTCTCTTACTCCCTTTAGGCTCTAGTACTTGTCTTTAGCTATAGGGCCAATGTATGGGATGTGGCTAATGAAAAGGGGATTTGCTATAAGAAAAAGTAATTGCAAAGTACAAACTGTATTTATATTGGGTTCAGTGGTATTACTTCCATACCCATAAACTATCTATTTGTGTTGGATTCCACTGGAAATTTAATGGCTTAAGGGAAAGATGGATTTCATGTGCTTAGCGAAACTTTAAAAATAGTACTTACTGATTAAAAAAAAAAATCTCTCGGCTCCAAAAATGATTTATAATGGCTCTAAGTAAGACTTTTATAAACCTATTGACTATGGAAGTGAATACTCAGATTTTTTACATTGGGAACTCTAAAATAGAATTTATTTGCCAAGATTGGTGTACTTATGAGGGAGGGGGCTTCAAAAAAAATTTTTTTTTAAAAAAGCAACAAACTTTTTTCCCCACGAGCCTTTTGAAGCTCTGTTGCTTTAACCAATATTCTCTGTTTCAGTGGTTCTCAACCTTCTTAATGCCGTGACCCTTTAATACAGTTCCTCATGTTGTGGTGACTCCCCAACCATAAAATTATTTTCGTTGCTACTTCATAACTGTAATTTTGCTACTGTCCTGAATTGGGTGACTCCTGTGACAGGGTTGTTCGGTCCCCAAAGGGGTCTCGACCCAAAGGTTGAGAACAGCTGCTCTATTTGATTGCTCAGTTCTAATATTCTTTGCAATGGCTACACAAAATTCATGATTAAAGGGTTTAATTAAGGAAATTAACAAGCTGTAATGCCAGTGAGAAATGCTCATGGTTGAGTTGTTTGGCATGTTAAGAAGTTCTTTCAGGTCTGCTAATAAATTCCCAAAGGGAGCATATCACTCAGCTCAAGCTCCATGAGTTTGAAAATCCAGTTTCCTGAATTAAGTGCTCAGAGGTTCCCTACTCTATAAGCCAGCCTCCTGCACAAAAGCACTCAGTTTTACTTGTTCCATGGGTTGGGAATTCCATCACTCTGTACCAGGCACTGCCTCCTCATTCTGCTGTTGCTCCTATGATGTTCTAGCTGTCTTTTGGATCCAGGAGGTTCACTGCACCAGGGATCTTGGATCCCCAGAATGCATTCCTCCCTCCCACCACACACACCCACACCCACCCACCCACCACCCACCCCCTCTTCTTACCAGACGCGTGCAGGAAAAGGTTGTTTGGTGGGAGTTAAAGACTTTGGCTGCAGGAGCCACACAAAACGGTTCACTGCCCCTGCGGGTCCCTTGTATTTTTGGACCATGAATCCTTAAGTACAGTTCAATCCTGGAAATGACCGTGCTTTTATTTAAAGGTATAAACTAGGAAAAATATTTCCTGTTGGTGGTCTTACAGTCTGGAAGGAACGCTGGTTGCACTGTGGTCAGGTGGTGTAGACTGCTAAAAGTAGAGCTGATGGTTTAAGCCCATCAGCTGCTGCTCGGGGCAAAAGCTGAGACTGTCTACTCTTGTCAAAGATATACAATCTTGAAAACCCTGTGGAGAGTTGTTATGGGTTGGAATTAACTTGATGGCAGCGGATTTGGTTTTGAACATTGTACAAGTTTCTCTGTAAAACCCTTATGGGGACTTTCGGCCCAGAAATCTGGAGTAGTTGAGTTATTTTTCTTGGTCTCTCTTTCTCTTGTTTTTCTTTTTCTTGTTCTCTTGACTACCACTCTTTTAATGGTTTATAGCACAAGAAAAGTCAAAAAATTACGTGGAAAACACTGACTTATCAAGGAGACGGTCCTCCAGACTGTCCACTAACGGGACTCATGAGATCCTAGATTCTGACTTGGTTGTATCAGATTTGGTTAATGTAGTTGATACACAACCATTGCGAGACACATCTTCTAGCACCAAGGAATCTGAAGGTGAGTAAGAATGTGTTCTAGAATTGTCTTACCAGCCTGATACCTGTCTAGTGAGAATCAATCTAAATTTTTGTATACTGATGTCTACAAGTATAAGATGGTCTTGAAATCAAGTAATTGAATAGATACTTGGTTTTTGTAATACATTGTTTTTCACTGGTTACACAAACAAACTTTCTCTATACATTTGTGATTGATTTTACTGATATCTTACTGATAAGGCTGGGTTAGAGGCATAGAGCTTAAAGAATCCTCTGCCTGCCTGTCTACCTTAGTCTTACTCTCTGCCTTTCTTTCATGCTCTCTTTCTCTGGGGCCGTCTCATTTCATGCCTCCTACCTTTTTTTTTTTTAAACATTACAGCAGTTCTTCCTTTCGCCTCTAATTAGCATTTTCCTCTGCGCATCACCTTGGTAGTGTGTGCAGAACTGTGAATGAATGTGCTGAGATGATCGACTCCCTTAAAAGGCCTGTTTTTCTGAATCTGTTGTGCAACCCCTGGTTCCCAGATTACATACATTTATATGTCTCCCAGACTTTTTCCCCCTTTTTTCTTTATAGGTCAGTTGAAATCTCCTTTGGAAGCAGGACAGGTCTCATCTGCACTAACTAGCCACTCCTTTGGGGATGGTTTGGAGCCAACAGGTGTGGAGTTGAACTGCAAGTCAATGGGAGAAAACACTATGAAAACGGAACCAGCCTCTTCCGTTTCTGAGTTACAGGAGATATCGACTGTTACAGGTTTGTATTTAGAGTTAACAATCCTTTTCTCCTTTTTCCTCATACTTTTACTACCGTTGCTTCTGCTGTAATTATAAACTTAAAAAAAAATTGACCCAATTTTCCTAATAATGTCTTTTTACCTTTTGTTAATAAGATTTTCTTTTTATTTTTATGTCAATACGTGCTAAAACCTCATAATTTCTGATGTGGTAATATGTGCTTTGTATGACTAAGGATTTATCAGCTATGTTAATTGTTTCAAAGCACCAACTTTTTGTTAATTTTCTCTATTTGTCTTAAATTTTCATTTATTTCTTTTTTATTATTTTTTAAATTTTCATTTATTTCTATTTTAATTTTAATTATTTTTTCTTTAAACTTTTTCTAACTTTTTAAAAAATGTAATCTCTCCCCCCACCCAACCTCTCCCACCTTCTTAGGTGGAACTTTGTTGGTTGTTATTTTTGGGCGCTATTGAGTCAGTTCAGATTCAGCTACATTAGCTTATTTAGATTTTCCTTACAAAATCTGAGCCTTTTTTTTAAATACATCTTTGCTCTTTTACATCTTTTTAAAATCATTTTATTGACTCATACAACTCTTATCACAAATCCATACATGCATCAATTGTATAAAGCACATTTGTGCATTCATTACTCTCATCATTCTCAAAACATTTGCTCCCACTTAAGCCCTTGACATCAGCTCCTCAGTTTTCCCCCTCCCTTCCTGCTTCCCACTCCCTCGTGAACCCTTGATAATTTATAAATTATTATTTTGTCATATCTTACACTGCCTCTAGGTGGAACGCTTTAAAATAGTGCAAAAATCATCTCATGAGCGCTTACATTATTTCAAACGTCTGACTATTCTTCAGGTTTTAACACACTTTATGATATTCTCCAGTGCCTTTAGATATACCCCCTTTACCCCCAGGGTGTCTGATTGTTATATGTGAAAGGGATTCTCTAATACAAGCTTATTTACAATTACCGAAAGGGAAATATTCATTTTATGCTATGGATCGCATTCGGAAGTTGTATATTCATGATCATATGGGGATTTTCCCTCTCAAGTAGTGACTGCCTGTTGCATTGATAATTATTTGGATATCGTTGGCAGTACAGAATTTTAGTTTTGGTAATACAATGTTTGTGGTAAATGGTCAGAGTCTAAAATAATCCTGACTATGAGTGCACCTTGATCTCTCTTAAACTAATGAACATCTAAGCTACATTGTTGTGTGTGTGTGTGTGTATCTGTTTGGTTTTCTTTTCCTTTTTAAAAAAGTATCCAGTGGTCATAAAAAAGTCCAAACCTAGGCAGAAGTGTGGGAGGTAAAAGTGAAAGGCCTTTTTTTCCTTTCATTCTGAGTAACTTCTGTTAAAATAGTGTCATTTTTCTGTATCCTTTTCTATGCATTTTCGTTGGTAGGGAGGCAGTGAAGGTTTCATTTTTAAATGTGATTGAGAATCCTAGGGCCATTGTTGTCTGATTGATTTTTCATAGCATTTCTTGGACGTCTTTCAGTACATTTGCCTCATTCTTTTTAGTAGCTGAATATTTATTAGTCGCTAGCAAGAGTGCTTCAAAAGGAAGTAAAACACTCTACTAGAGACTAATATTCATTTAGATTGTTTCTGGATACATTCAAACAAGGATGTATTCATAGGCCTTCCTTGAACATTGTGAACATTTTTGCCCACTTGGTGAAATTTTCTGTAGGACAAGTTTTGAGCGAAATTGCTGTATTCAAGGGAATGCATCTTGCCTAAGCAGTTCCCTAAAGGCCATTTTGTTTTATATTTCCACCAAAAATAGGAGAGCATACCATTTTCTGTATATTCCTTTCCATCTATGGACATAGTCACTTTTAATATTTTTCTTAATTTATGCCAACATTGAAAAAATGATTTCATTTTTTACTTTCTAAATGAGGTTGGACAGGTTTTCCTGGATTTTTAAAATTATTTTTCATATTTTTCCCATTTCATGTTGGGTTGGTTCTTTTTATTATTGAGCTGTAAGGTTTCTTTGTATTTTATTGATACTAATTACTTTTTCCTGGTCTGTCACTTTTCTTTGTATAAATACTGGAATTGCAAACTTAAAAAATTTATTTTAGTTCTCATTGGTATTTAAAATATGTAGTTATAGTATGTATTTAATATGATTAAATATGTATTTTATGTTATACCCACCCTATTAAAAATAATTTTAATTGGTAGTAGCCCCCTTCATCATTTTTTAAATAAAATTGTAAATATCTCTTACCCATACTTCATACCTTGAGACTCTTGATTACCATTCATCATCATTACTAGTATTATTTTAACATTCATTATTTTTATTGCTTAAGCAGTTTTATTGGCACACAATCCATATATCATACAATTCAGTACCTTCATATCAAGAAGAGTTGTATAGTCATTACCATAATCAGTTGTAGAAGATTCTCTTCTTCCTTGTGCTCACTGTTATTAGCTTATTTAGTTTGTATTGTCTAAAATTGAAAGGGATGTAGCTGGAGAGAATTACAATATTTTTACACAAATAATGCACGTATAATATAGTTTATTTTGTAAACCATGCTCCTCAGCCCCTTGAGTATTAGTTCACTGTGTACATTGTTTGTACATAGGTACTTCATATGCAAAACAATCGTAGTGTAGGTAAATTCTGACATTTCCTAAATATTCGTGAAGCTCTAAGGCTTTGTGGAGTAGCTCTTTCTTGGCCTCATCTTTATTCCCGACTAAAACTGATTTAGTGGGAGAACTGACCATCCTGAGAACCGAGCCAGAAAGAATCTGAAATCACTGTACAGTGGCCCTAGATGAGCATGAGTGAGTGGTCTGTGACATTTCTCAGGTTGTTACGGTGGAGTGTGGACTCTGTTGTTCTCAAAGCAGAACTTGGTGACTGCATATGAGATTGTTGGTACAAGTTTTTTGTGGTTTACTCATTCTGAAGGCAAGAATATAATGGCATGTTCTTTTTAGAGATGGACTCAGGCAATAATGGTTGAATGAAACTTCTGCAGGAAGCAGGTGAAAAATGAGAAAAGATGCTGCAAATGTGGACCTGGAGGCTCTGGTTGTACATCTCTTTTTCTTAGTTCATTAGAGTGTTCTGTGAACCTTTTTAGTACCAGGACTGCTTGAAGAACTTCTTAATTTGGAGGAGGTAGTGGTTAATGCATTGGGCTATGATCCCCATTGTTGGCAGTTCGAAACCACCAGCAGCTCCATGGGAGAAAAACTGGGCTTTCTACTGCTCCAAACGTGGCAGTCTTGGAAACTTCCCAGGTCAGTATTGACTCGATGGCAGCGAGTTTGGTATGCTTTCGAGCAGTAACTACTAGTGCTGTCCCATGCGTAACAGATGGACCAGGGTATTCCAGTAGAGGGGAAACTATGAGCAAACACATAGCACACTTCCTATCGGGCTATTTCAAATGGAGAGAAAGTTGTCACATATTTACTGATTGCATATTTGGACACATGCTTGTGACATGCTTATGACTTTGACTCTAGCTGTCATGAAATTTATATACATTTCATTGTTTTATACAAAATAGAAATTCAATTTATTTAACCATGAACATCGTACTTGAAATTCTCCCCCCACCCACCCCCTCTGGAAAATCAAATTCCAAATATTAAGAGTAATTTTAGTTGTAAATAGAAAATTCTGCATCGTCAGTAGTTTAAATACATTTACATAATTTTTGGTTTTAATGTGAGTATTTTAAAGTCTCATTTATAATAACTATTTGGCTGTTAGCTGTTCTGAATCATGGTAGCTCCATGTACAACAATGAAATGCTGCCTGGTGTTGCACCTACCTCATGACTGCCAGCATGTTTGAGTCCATGTTTCCTGTCAGCCTAGGGATTTCATCTTTCCTCACTCTGTTGAACAATATTCTGCTGTCATCCACAAGGTCTTCACTGACTGCTTTGTAGAAGTAGTCTTTTTTCCCCTAGTCTATTATAGTCTAGAAATTCTGATGAAATCTGTCCACTATGGATGACTTTGTTGATATTTGAAATAATGGTTACATACCTTCCAGCATTATAGCAACACACAAGTCAACACAGAATAACCCCTCATACATAGCAAGGCTGTGAATAATGAGGGCAGAATTACTGTATACACTCGAGTATACGCTGACCCAAGTATCAGCTGAGGCACCTAATTTTGCCACAAAAATTGATTAAAAATGTGCTGAAAAAACTCTGCTTATATATGAGTATATATGGTGCATATGTTAGATGAACTCAGATTTGTAGGGTGGGGAGTTCAGAGGGTTTTGGGTCTTGACCAGATAGGTGCTATGTAGTTAACAGAACTGCTGTAGCAGCACAGCCACTTGGAAAGAGTGCACTAACAGTACTCAAGTACCCACTCCTGGCTTGTCTGCGGAGCTTTTAGATGCTGCTGTGCCTAGCTGAGCCCAGAGCATTGTGCCTGGTGGGTATAGGACTCTCTCTTTTCTGATGAGTCTCTTCTCAGTGGCAGGGCCATTTTCCTCCTAGCCCGTTTCTCTGTCATATGAGGGGAAATTATTGAAGTTGAAGTACAAATAATGTAGAATTTTAATTTTAGAGCCCAGTTGTCTATTTTGGCAGGGATAGCTCTAGCCATGTTTGTCCCTTATGATTCAGCAGACTAAGCTCTTAATTATGATGTCTCAGGTGGTGTTAAGTTAGCTATCACTTGAAATTACCTGTTACCCCACTGCTAGGAAACATGCCATGCATAGAGGATAAATTCAGTGCTTGGCTCTGAGTTTACCCATTTTGTGGGGTCTTGCTTTGGGTATCTCTCCATAGTGCCCATGCATACACTCACAAAACTTCTCACAAAACTTCTGCCCACCCCATGTTGTTTAATTCCGTTGTGTTCATAGAGAAGACAGGAACGCAATAAAATGAGAATGGGACAGGTAAGTGTTGTAAAAAGATAAAATATCACAGGGGCCATTGTGCCAAGTTCTAGAAAATAATTTTTTGC